TTAGCTCGTCAACATCTCGTCTTAGTCACAGAAAAAAATGTTCGTTGATGAATATTTTTCGTTGTCGTCTTCATTGACGAAATGAACACTGGGCCAAACACATACGAAACACCGGCTACCTGGCATTTTTAAAAAGCCATGTAAAAATATTTACTCCATGAGCATGGAAAACAGCGATAACGGCATTTACCTGTTGTCCACAGTGTTGTGTTCTTTTCTCAGCCTCGATGATAACACTGCCAGTTGCCATAGGAGATTTAGTCAGATTTTCACGCTCATTTAATCACATAAATTGTGCGTTTACATTCCATCTCTGTTATCACGAAACCCACGACACACAGATTTTTGATGTAGGGCTATTTAGATTCACAGCTTCATGTGACTGTAGTCTCTGTAGAAGCTCTAAACCCATAACTAGATAAATATTGAACCTTACAAAAATCCCTTTACCAAAAGGGTTTTACTGTGCAAACTGAACAGTTAAAGCATTGCCAATATCAAAACCCTATAAAAAAAATCTAGATAATCAAGTCAAACTCATTAATGCACTTGTCGACTATGGTGCAAGCAATAAACAATTGGTGTAACTGTGGCTGTTGTTGTGTTTGGTTACCTGCAGGAAGGTTTCTATATGTTAAGTATGTGCAAGGTCATTCTCCCGTCAGGAATGCTTGCATGCATTAGTCCATCATATGCATGTGTGCATCCCATCAGTATTTAGGTATGCATGTAGCAGTGTGTCAGAACGGACTAATACACACTTCACAAACACAGAGTGTACACAAGGTCTGGTCCAAATCCTGTTCTTCTTGTCGGTTGAGTAATTCTTGTTTGTTGTGTGACTATGTGCAAGAGACCAAGAATAGAATTTGCACTGATATGTTTTGTAAAAAGCTGAGAATGAAGATGAGAATTATGAAATTCAAGTATTTTCTATGCACTATATTTGTGACTATCACTATTTTGTTCATGCCCTTGATTCAGAAATTGAATTCAAAATCATTATGTGCACTTAAACGTTCCCTTTAGTTGAGTTTTCTTGTCATTGCTGTGTTTGTTTTATTGATTTTAATGCACTGGCTAGTCCATTGAGTAGCATTTGAGGTCGGTGACCAAAGGACACGAGCAAATTTATAACACCCCTTAGAGAGCCTGTTCCTGTGGCCACTGATAAAGGATCATAAGGGACGTGTTTGGGACAAGCTTTGGTGTTTCTCTTATTATAGCCGAGGTCAGGAGCTAGTAGGCAGCAGTTGATCTTTGGTCGCCGTAAACGTTCAGCTTTTACTCTGTTGTTTGTATTGTTGTTGTCTGTGAGATTAGTCTCCGTGGCAGCAGCGGTTAACAGAAGTTGACGGCTTAAAACCTATTAAAAGTACATGCTAGTGAAGTACATACTCCACTTCCTGTCTGGCCGCACACCAAGAGTAGGTGTGGAGAATTTGCTCACTGCACAGGTAAAGAGCACTGATTTATATTCAATCTGTCTCTCCTGTGCTGTGCCTTGTGACACAACAAGTTTCCAATGACACAAGGAATGTGTCTACACTGGTGTGTGGGCGATGGTCTCTTGTTTTACTATTACACACATAGGACTTTTAATTTTTTCCCATATTTTGTTTTATTTTTTTTCTCTACAACATGAAATATTAGTACTGTAATTTTACAGTTGTACTGAAACAAAGTTATTATTATTATTACTTTTTTTGTTTGTAATTATCAAAAGCATGTCTAATTAATTGAAATAATAAAACTTATAAAATGTAACAACAGTTTATTGAAAATTGTACAAAAATAACATTTAGGGCCCTAAGAAATCTGTTTAATTTTACCCAAATTCCATGTTTTCCATTAAATTATTTTTCTGGATTTTGAGTTAATGGTTTAACTGAATTTTAATAATCAAAAAGCATGCCAATTGAATTGATAAATCTTTAATAATTTAATAATTTGTACAATAATAGGGTCCTATAAGTTCTTATAATTTTTCAGCAACTCAGTGTGGTCTATTTTAATTTGTCTGGATTTATGTAATTATTTACTTTAAGTATTTGATGATAGTTTTTATCAAATGAAAATCTTAAAATGTTTATGAAGTGACTCTCAGAGCAGCTGTGGAGAAGCTGTTCATGTTTTCACATTCGCATAGTGAGACTGAAAACACCACGAGCGTCATGTGTTCTTAAGCGTCTGTAGTAGATGAAACTGCACCACTCATTCACACTGAGACACACAGAACAAAGGGACATATTTTAATATATTTTTGTGGTATATTTACAGAGGCTAGTTCATATTACGATTTGATTAAGTGTACAGCCCTGCTTTTTATTTATTTATTTATCCAAATTTAGCCAACTTCTGTGGCATTCTATATTATACTGTCAATTCCATTTTTATGACTGGATCCCCAATTTTGTCCATGTTTTCTGCATCACAGAAATCATAGGGCCCTAAATAGATCACTTGGCAGCATGTTATTGAGGTTTTAAAGCACAACAGAAGTAACAAACACAAAAAACAAGTACTCTCTAAGATAATAGTACATCTGCACTAGAAACAAAAGATTTTAAATGGAGTTTGACTGATATTTTGTAGGAGAACCTTTAAAGGGGTCATATGATGCTTTTTTAAAGATCATTATTTTGTGTATTTGGTGTAACAGAATATGTTGACATGCTTTAATGTTCAAAAAACACATTATTTTTCAAATACTGTACATTATTGTAGGTCCTCTATGCCCCGCCTCTCTCAAACGCTTCGTTTTCTACAAAGTCCCTCCTTCCGACAAGCGCAGTCTGCTCTGATTGGCCAGCTGACCCAGTGCATTGTGATTGGCCGAACACCGCAAGCACTCGTCGGAAATGTAACGCCCCTTACCATAATTGCGAGCGTCAGCTTTCAAAATAAATGTAAAGACAGTAAATAATGTCATTAGTTTTACCATCAGTTCAAGCCCGAAAGGGGAACAGACACAGTAATGATGCAGTACACAAGCCGCGGTTAAGACAGCTGACTCGCTATGATTTCTGACAGGCAGTTCACTCTCCT